TGCATACATAATGCCAAGAAACCGCAACGACAAGCTCAAAGTAGTGTGTGTCAACATTTATAGCAAAAAATTGAAGGGAAAATGTGGTGTGACACTGCCATGTTGGAATTGCATGGCAGGCGACCCATGTGTGCAAGTTTCCTTTGGGTGGTGGTGGTGGGGCATTAGTTCTATTATGTTATATGAACAAACATGTGCAACGAGTTGAGTGATATATCGGAGATGTGATGACTGGTGAAAAAAAAGACATTATTTGAGAGATAAACTTGTGCACAATTACAGTTATATTTGAGCTCAAATATAGTATAAAATATCTCAAAACATGAGAAATGTTAGTAAAGTATAGGAAAATCTGATATAGAATTAGATGGCAACAATATGATAAAATAGTACAAAACGAGCAAATGAAAGACCTAAATTTTCAGAAAAGACCACTATATTATTCATTTATTTGCAAGTTGGATAAGATTCGGAACAAATTGTAAAGGATGACCGATCATCTAAAAAATTTATCCTCAAATCACATTAAACACATTTGATTATTTAATTTGAGTTGGAAATTTCCTTCGTGAAATAAACAAAACAGGGAGCCGAACCCTTCATGCCATTAGTTATTTGGGTTTGTGTTGATAAGCCCATTGAGCGAGGCCCGGCCCAACCCAGCTTTACACAAATACTACACAACTATAAATCTAGAGGGGATCGGGGTAGGGGACGAGTTTGCCAGCTTGGAGCCTTAGAGATCGTTTAGATAAGAAGTTCTAATGGATGAATTAGTTAGATGTTTGGGAAGTAATTTTGGTTGAGGAATTTTAAATTGACTTATTTTGAAACAATTACAATTGTCTGTGGTGGGGTAGATAATTCTAATCCAAACGAGAAAATTGGCTAAATTGTCTCATTTTTTAATTGATCCATTCAAACCACCATTTAAACTAGAGATAAAAAAAATTTGGTGCGTTAAACTAGAGATAACGATAAAGGCAGAAGGGGTTCTTCATGGTTGTTTACATTGGGCAATAAATTACCACAACCCTATCAATCTAAATGGTAGATACGAACCTCTAAATGGTTTGATCCCAACTCTGAACTGAAGTAAACAAATGGACATTTCCATAAACCCAAATCAACAATTGTGACCATGCCTACACTACATAGTTCCTCCCAAAGGCTAACATAATTACTCAAACCATGACTATCTAGACTCTCTACTCTAACCTCCGATTCCTTAACATAATAACGACCCGGCTTCGAAGGGTGGCTGCATTACTGCATATGTCCACCACCACTTAATTCCCGCCGTCTTTATTTCTAGTAGCTAATCCTCTCTAATCACTGCTTGATCCGTTCCTAATTGTGGCACCCAATTGGCCAAGAAAAAAATAATAAAAATAATAAACATGGCGGCCTGCCCTACAAAGCTACAAGCAAGGCGACGGTTTTTGCACGCCGTGAGTGGCGCCGACGGCATTGGAGCAAAACGAAGTAGCGTCGAGTCCATTCTTCTGAATCATGTTTATGTCCTTCAACACCAACCCCTTGCACCCGTACATCTTGCTGCAGTTCAACTTCACTGCCACCGCCGACCTCGACGTCCCCCATACGTTGTCGTACGTCACATCCTCGATTCGAATATGTGATGGCACCTAAGCATATACCAACATCAACGACAATACAAACATGATTACGAGATAGTGATACTTTCTCATAATCGAAATCTCGATTCAATGAATATAAAACGAAATAAAAAAAAAAGGGTACTAGATTGCAAATTTTACCTGATTGCACGGAGGTTTAGGGCAGTACTCCTGATCAATAATAATGGGATTATCCACGCTGTCGAGATGAATATTACTGAAGGTCAGATTCTGGACCAGGCCGGCGTAGGGCGTGGCCCACGTCTTGATCCTGACACCGTCGGTCGTGCCACGGAAGGTGCAGTCCGTCACAGTGACGCCCGTGACGACGTCGTTGTTCTCGTTGTTCGGGTAGTAGCCCATGCTCCCGATGCTGATGCCGTGGCCGGGCCCGCAGAAGACCTGCGACACGTGGATGTCGGAGCTCTTCCCCAGGATGGCGATGCAGTCGTCGCCGGTTCCAATGACCGAGTTAGTGACGTGGACGTCGGTCGACGCCCCGATCTTGATCCCGTCGGTGTTTTTGCTGTTGCCGGGGGCCTTGACGAGGATGTTGTGCATACGGATCTTGTTGCACCCGTAGATCTGCATGTGCGCGTTACGGCTGTTCACCGAGCGGATGTGGCTGATCACGCCGTCGTTTATGAAATCGAACCGCAACGACTGCACGCATTAAAGTAATTAAAATTACCATTGAATATGATTGATACAATGACATTATATATGCGTGTGACTACACATCAAAGCACATGTCGTATTAAAGTTCGCAAAGAAATATAATATTTTCAAAGCCGTATAACAAAATAATTATTAAGAAGCATTAAAATCGCTACAAAATATTTGACCTTTTATCTTCCTTTCTCCACCAATCACTAAGGTTAATATGATTTTGTGGGTAGAAAAAAAAATTGAAATATGTAATTACTCGTTTTAGAGAAATCTCAATTTTGAAATTGAAGATAAGTATGGTAATTGGAATAGCATTTTTAGTAGAAGGTATGTATCAATTAGCCGCCCATAATATCAATGATGAAATTGACCATGCAAGATAAATAAAAGCCACTTTCTAAGAGGACGAAAAAAGGGGGAGAGGAGAAGGAAGTTGATTAGTAGTGTAGTTACCATGGCCGAAGGTTTGGGAGAGGGATCGGCGTAACTCCTGCCGTCGAAGGTGCCGTGGCCGGAAACCATCAGCCCGTTAACGTACCGGAAGGTGATCCACTTAGCGGGGTCGCTGAGCCTATCGGGAGGCGACAACCGTCCTTTCATTATAAACCCCATCGATCCTTTGCAAGGACCCAAGAACATGATCGCGTCCGTTACGAACTCCCCTGGCGGCACCACCACCCTCGCCTTCCCTTCATATTTACAAGCGTCGTTCCAAGCCGCCAAAAATGCCTAGTAACAAGTTTTAAAACAAAAACCCTCAGAAAAGGACGAACAGTACTACGAAAGCATACCAGAAACAACCTAATTATGTTACTAGGTACTAACCTCGCTGGAATCGGACTTGCCGTCGGGCTTTGCTCCGTAGCGACGGACATCGAACACCTTGGCGTTCGAATAGGCGTTGGCAATGGTGGCGCCAACCAAGGCGACCAAAAGCAAGAGAGAAACAATGGTGGCAAATCTCAACACTTTCCCTTCCATATTTTCTTGTGTGTCACTCACTCGAATGATTTATTTATTATTTTTTTTTTTGAAAGACACTCGAATGATCTCTTGGGTTTCTCTTCTAGTGGTTTACTTTGATTAGAATATATATTGTAACGGCGGTGCGGGAAAAGGGAGGAAATATGAAAGGGTTTCTGTTTTGAATATTTTATTTTGGGAGAAGATAATTACAAGGGCCGGGGTTTTAGATTTTTATCCGAAAATTGAACGATAATTTCTGTTTGGTGTTGATTATCGGAGATTTATTCAGATGTTTTGATGGTGTGTTAACTACTTTGGATTGGAAGATACGATTTCTATTCTTTCACGTGCTTGAATAGTATCCATAGGTGGACGGGCCAATGGTGGTGAGGCCCAATATAAGGACGCTCATATGGGCCGATTGGGAGTGGACAAAGAAAAGATGGTTTCTTCTCCTTCACTCTCGATGATAGATTCTTCTTCGCCAGATAACCGCAGTGGTGGCCGGAAGGTTGATTTTTTTTTTTTCTTCTTCTTCTCCTATAATGGTGGAATTTTATTAGCAAATTGCAACAAAAATATACCAGCGGTGTATACAAGAATGAAACTAGTACAATGAAGAGGCCAAATTAATTAAAGAGCTACCCAGACCAGAACATAGGGGAAAAGAAATTAAACAAGAAAAAGGGATAATGATGGAGGCCGCATTACCGCCCAGGCCCCAACAAGAACCCGTCCAAATGCCAAATGAACATCACACACAGTCACACACACAGTGAAGCTAAGGGGCAAAATGACATAGACTCCTTCCTTCCCTTAATTAGTAACCTCCATACACAACAATCCAAACAAACAGCCCTGCCCTCCACGACAGCGATTGTCCTACGATACATAAACACAAGTGAACATTGTGATATATTATCATGTTATCATTGTCACTAATTAACCAATATATTCTGTTAAACTTGGGGTATCCGAACCGATGCACATTTCAAACCCCATATAATTAAGTCGACTTTCATTTTTATGAGGCAGGCAGCAGCGGCAGGCACTTGTTTATGCTTGATTGTGATAATTATTAGGCATCTACAGTTTTTTTTCCACTCTCAGCCGATCTTACGCTGCAACGGAACATGGTGAACTATAATAAATCAAAATATTTGTTTGGTTTCTTGTTTGATCCAAAACCAAATGAAAACTAGATGAATAATTTGATCAGGAATAATTTTAACCCTTACTCTTCTATTACAATAGCATTATCATGAAAGTGGAAACCAAGTTGAATTTCATCAATTTGATGCAAGTATTGGTACGTCAATTTTCTTGATTTTTGTGCTAGATAGAAGTTGAGGCCATGATACAAGTTTTTAAACCACTGTTCAAAGTTGATTATTTAGGTATAGTTCGGACTATAATAAGGTATTAACCCTATAATTTTTTATAACTAAAATAATAAATTCTTATATTTGCTCATTGAATGTATCAAACCCACCAAATTAATATGACATAAAGAAACTTTGTCACTCTACTAAGTCTCGTTTATTAAAATTGCCAATCGCAAAAATATTTCAAAAAAAATAACACACCTATTTTCAACTCATCGTTTGGCCACTCATCGTTTCCATATGTGTGTTTCTATATATAGACTGCAATGTATGGCGAGAGTTGAAAGTACCCGAAGGACCCCAAAAAAAAAAAAAAAAATATAGCATAACCCCAAAAACGAGAATGCACCATGAAATATTATCTGCTCTCCAGCTTCTCATCACCATCTTCTTAATCCTGATCGCAACTATGGTTGTGTTCATAAAATTAAGGTTCAGCTTCGGCGACGTCGTCAAGGCACCACATCTGCCTCCGGGACCATGGAAGCTGCCCGTAATCGGCAACTTGCACCAGCTCAACACTGGACTGCCGCACCGCCGGCTGAGGGAGCTGGCCCAGCAGCACGGCCCGCTCATGCATCTACAGCTCGGGGAGACCTCCAACGTCGTGGTGTCCTCGCCGGAACTGGCCCACGAGTTCCTCAAGGCCCACGACCTCAACTTCGCCTCCAGGCCCTTCCTCCCGTCCGCCGACATCATCTTCTACAACTCCCGGGACATCGGCTACGTGGCCTACGGCGACTACTGGAAGCAGATGCGAAAGATCTGCGCCCTCCAGCTGCTCAGCGCCAAGCGCGTCAAGTCGCTGCGTCGGGTTAGAGAAGAGGAGATCGCCCGGCTGGTAGCTTCGATTACAGAACCGCCGCCAAAACTTGATCCTCAGGTGCGTGTATATATATATATATATATATATATATATATTAGTTATCATTGTTCGACGTTATTTGAGAGATTCTCGAAAATCAGTGATTAAATTGATAAATCCATTATGGCTTTATTTGAGTAGGGATGGCAATGGGTCGGGTCGGGGACGGATAGTGCATATCCGTTACCCTATCCAAAGTAGTTCGGGTTTTACCCATACCCATACCCACATGTGAAACGGGTAGAAAATTAAAACCATGCCCATACCCGTTCGGGTTTCGGGTATCCGCGGTTATCCATGGGTAATGATTTTTCTTCATAACTATAACCAATATGTTAACATTCATACGTATTCTCACATTACGTAAGAAGAAAAGTACGACAATAATTCACTAGAATGAAGAAAATTAATTAAAACAACACAATTCCTTGAAAATATTATATTTATATGCTAAATATAAAATATGTTAGAGAAAAAAATGATTATTTCTAGACAGAATACATATGCATGTGTATAATCGGGCGGTTTCGGGTTGGATAGTGTGAAACCCATGCCCACCCATTACCCGCAATATTCGGGTTCGGATTTTACCCATACCCACTAAATGTCCTTCGGGTTCGGGTTCTACCCTACCCGATTAGGCCGGATTCGGGCGGATATCCACGATTACGGATATTTTTGCCATCCCTATTTGAGAGGTTCAGATATGATACTTAACCACTTTTTTATAGGCTTTCAAAATGAAAAATAATTTATGAGTTTATGTGTCTCCTTTTCCCCAAAATAAACACCGTGTCACGTTGTGAAAATAATAAACATTACTAGATTGTACCCCGGCCCGTTGGCCGGTGGAAATATGATAACCCTAATTAACAAAATTTCAAAGTTTAAATTTCAGTAATATTCTTTTCTTTTACATTTGTTTCATGATTGTATTATATGTAAATGTCATGCGTATTAACAAACAATGATAGCATATTTACAAAATAGCAATACAATTTCTTAAGTTTTACCGTGGAGAAAGTCTAATTTTTCAATGGCTTGGTAAATAGAAAATGAGCATCCATAAGAACGATTACTAACATTGTAAATGGTGGATTTGTTGAAATTAAAAAGATAGAACTCAAGCAAGGGTATATAAACTTCTAATAAACTTAAGCATTAATATACATGCCTGGCCCGGACTTTACCCATATTTAACATTCTGGCCAATCCTTTTCGCTTTTAACATCGTGGCCCGAACTAATCCTACACTTTACTAATTTGGCCAAATCCTTTTCGCATTTAACATCGTGGCCCGAACTAATCCTACACTTTACTAATTTCACTCCAAATATGTAAAAATGGATATAATTTTGTATAGTATAATTAATTTGATTTTTAGTTAAAAGATTACAAATTAAATTATCAAAAATGAATATGATTAATTGAAAACTAATAAGGGAGTGGCAATGCATGTTGATTATATACCTAATATATTAATAAACTGATAATATTCAAAATTAGCTAAATGGATACAATAAAACAGAACTGCTAATAATAATAATCATTTGAATAAATATATATAGATGAATTTTACAATGCTTCATCTGGTTGGTTCTTTCATATACACAAAAAATATTTTATGCACAAATTGAACTTATATCCTTAACATTATAGTCAAATTCAGTTTATTTTTATACTTTTTCATGCAAATTCATTTATAATGGAAGCGGATCGTGTACCTTTAACATTATGGTACAGTTCTTTGTCAAAAAAACATTATGGTACGGTTTGACCTATATATTTTCATACATATTACTTTATGACACAAATTGAATTTGGACTTTAATGAATTAGGCAGGGATAATCAGTCCCGTTGTAAACACCAATAATTGAAGGGTAGTAGATGATCTCATATATATATATATGAAAAAGCTAGCATACGCCTGGTGTATGCTATATGCTTGCGTTCACAACTATTATTTGTACTTTGATATATTTCGATGAATCAAATCATTGGTTATTATTTTAAGATTAAATGAATCTCTTGATTTGGGTTCAAAAATTAGAGACTGGGTTTCACCCATTAGATGTTAGGGTATAATATTATACCCCAAACTTCAATTAAATCATGACCTAAATAGCAAAACGTGACTGATGTAATCTAACTTCAACCATATATATATACTTTAATTTTACTCAAGGTCTCAAGCTACTAATGAAGCGCACTATATATATAGCATATTAATTAAAAAGGAGTGGCTCTTTTCCGTTGGAGACCCGATTAATTTTTTAATTCATAATTTGGATGTTTTAATTCCACCAAAATGACCAGAGAACCCTCCCTAACTATGCGCATAAGCTAGGAAAAACTCAATTATATGGGTTCTCACGCGGAACCTCTATACATTGTTTGTAGGAATATATTGCTAAACCAAAAAAAATTTAAAAGTTGGAATTAACACGAAACAGATAAAAATACAATCATCCGAAGTGGTGCGCATGTGAAAATCTTTTCCCTTTTCACTTGTCCAGCTACTGCATTGACCAAATCCAATATTATGATCGTTATCTTGAACGGTCAAATGCGTTGATTAATGATCAACACGCCATGTCATTGTCAAGTCAGCACACATCAATTACAATTTTTGATTTTTTCACCTATTGTCATTTATCTTTTTATTTTTATTTTGAACAAATTAAAAGAAGAAAAAAAGCAAAAGAAATTCAAAATCTCTTTTGAAGTGGAAAAAACCAAATTTTTTAAGTGTGGTCTATAATGATTGATAGTGATGTGGCGCGTTGACCGATAGTCAATATGTTTGACCGTGCAAAATAAAGGTCAAATCTTGAGTTTCACCAGATTCGTAACTTTAATGCATAATTGAGGTAACAAAGTTATAAATCGAAAAAATTGATCAGAATGTTAAGTATGTGAAAAGTTCGAACCATGTAAATATATTAACCCTTCTATTTTCTTGTGTCATGAGAATTGTTTTCTTGATTCTTAACATTCACAGAATACAAGTAGTTTAACAATGCGTCCGGCGGCTGCTGTGAACCTGAGCCAGATGCTCATCAGTTTGTCGAACGCCGTCACGTTGAGGGCGGCATTCGGCGGGAAGATGTTGCGGAAGCAGGATGAGGCAATCTTACCGGTCCTGCAGCAGATCTTGAAGGCCGCCGGAGGGTTGGGCCTCGCCGACATCTTTCCATCGAGCAAGTTCGTGCGTCTGGTGAGCGGATTGGAAAGAAAGCTCAAAACGCTGCATGAGACAGCCGACGGAATCCTTGAAGGGATCATAGCAGAGCACGTGGCCAGAAGGAGGGAGGAGGATCACCAAGAAGAAGATCTTGTGGACGTGCTTTTGAACTTTGTGGAGAATCAAGGGCTTCCCTTCCCTTTCACCAACGCTGAGGTCAAAGCTGTCATTCTGGTAAAGTATACATATAGTACTGCGAACACAACAACTCCATTTCTTTCATCGCATTCATTTTTGTAAATGCACAACATATGTGACCAATGTGATGATGGATGTAGGACATATTTTTGGCTGGGAGCGACTCTTCTTCCGTGACTGTAGAATGGGCAATGTCCCAACTGATGAATAATCCTCATACTATGGAAAAAACACAAAAGGAGGTGAGGCAAGTATTTGACAAGACGGGTAAAGTGGATGAAGAAGGAGTTGACGAACTTGTGTATCTCAAATCGGTTGTCAAAGAAACATTCAGACTGCATCCTGCTGCTCCTTTACTGCTTCCGAGAGAAGCTCAAGAAGCGGTTGTGATTCATGGACACCTAATCCCGGCAAAAACCAGGGTCATTATCAATGCTTGGGCAATTGGTCAAGACCCGCATCACTGGGACGAACCAGAGAAATTCAAACCTGAAAGGTTTGCAGATAGCTCGGTCGAATTCATGGGGTTGGATTTCCAATTCATCCCATTCGGAGCTGGACGGAGAATCTGCCCTGGCATACAATACGGTTTGGCTGTTATCGACCTTTTGCTGGCAAATTTGCTGTACCATTTCGACTGGAAGCTCCCGGATGGAATCGAGCCTGAAGATTTGGACATGTCTGAAACGTTTGGCGCTACCGTGAGAAGAAAGAATCCTTTGTATCTCATTCCCATACCCTATCACCGGACTACAGCCTAGCCTGCTAGCCGTTTATCCTGTTAGTTACACACGTTTGTATTCTACAGCTTCTGGCGCTCGCTGTTGTATCCCTTTACCCGGCCGTAGTATCCCTCAACCAAAATAAATAAAACAACGCCGTGTAATTGTCCTTTGGACTACTATGATCAATGAAAGCGCAAGTTAATTAACCAATGCGACGGGAGCCGAATGAGCATGTGAGTGTGGAGACAAAATGGAGTTTCCGGCGGAAGAGAGAAAGTTGTCCGGATTGCTATTCTCCGGCGAGCCCGCTAAGGATGACTTGATTCGGTCGGGGAAGGACCGGCGGGTAGAAGAACAGAGCGCCGGCGCCTCGGGTGAGATTGTAGTTGTTGTCACTCACAAGTCCGTTTCGAACAAAATTGTCAGAAGAACTAAGCCCAAGAAACTCTCTAACTTGGGCTAAGAACTTGAAGAGCATCCCAAAAATACTCCAGGCCGTTAAAGATGACGGGCCGAATCCTTATACCAAAGCACAGTAAAACAGGGCCTGAATCTGTATATCCAATCCATCATCACACTTTTGTAATTTTCTTTTCATGTGGCCATCAATCTTTGCTCGTTAATTTGATAGCTGACATAAAGTTCGATGTCACTCTCTGATCATAGTATAGTAATACTAAGTATTTGTTTAATCTTATCTGAAGCCCAGTATAAATTGCGTTCAGTTCAGTGGCATAAAGACGATTTAAGATAATGGTCGCTAGTTTTTATTTTTTTAATTGCCTTTCGGCTGAACTAATGCGGCCTTTACCGACCGATTCTCACCAAAGCCCCAATGGAATGTTGTGGCCGCTGAGAAGTAGTCGGCCAAAGAAAATGGCCGTATCTAATGATAGCCCCGCCCAAAGTCATATTCAATGAAACAATTAGCACCAAAGTCCAAGTCCCCCCCACCTGCCATGTTTTTTAGTATTTATATTTATGATTGTGGATATTTAGATGCTTTTTCATGTTATATCGTTTCTCGTCAATTTTCGATAGATCAAGTAGAATAGAATGTGATTTTGTTTAAGATTAATACTCAATCATTTCCAACACAATTATTTGTGACGTGAAAAAGATTTGATCGCCACTAATACGACTCGTTTTCAACACAATTTCTGACACTTTATGTTGATAAATTTCATAACGTTCTGATTCGAAATTGTACGATCCGACCCAACCACCGGCCGATCCCAGCTCAGTATGGGCAACAGTAGGAAAGCCGTGAAAAGAGGGGAGAGAGGGCCACATGGTTGGATTGGATGCCTTTCCGGTGGAGGGCAGGCAGGCCAAAATGATTCTTTCCCGGCGGAGTACTCCACCGTTTCGTTTCGTGGCCAGCTTTGATTGTTGCTTCTCCACGTCATTCCTCTCCCGCGCCCAGGCCAGGAATGAATTCCTTAATTGCAAAATTATTATCATTATGGTCATTGTTTATGACGCAAAATTCTGAATTGCTTCGCGTTTGATCTCATGCATTACAAATGACAATTGTCAATTGAAAATAAAAGCAAACTGCCTGACCTAACTCTCGTCAAAATTTACTTAGGGGTCATTTGGATCCAGGTTTTTAATTTGTGGGATTTTAGCTCAAATCACTGGTTTAAAAACCCAGGTTTTTAATTTGTGGAATTTGTGTGGGATTTCAAAATAGCTTATCACCATCAGCTATTTCATAATCCCACAATTGTGGGTTTCTGAAATCTCTAATATTTAAAATCTCTTATCATATAATTGCTTTCCAAACGAGTGATTTTAATAAAATCCCACATTATGTAGGATTGTGCCCAAATCACACACCCAAAACCTGCATCCAAATGACCCCTTAAGTTTTTTAATTTTCATACACACGGGTGCGTAAACTAGTAGATTACATTACAATCCTTTTTAAGCGACAATAATATATTAATAATAATGAAATAATAGTATAATACAGAGAACGAGCAAATTAATTAAAAAATGTTAAAAACATAAGGAAAAATAAAATTAAAAAGATGAACACTCCATCCTTCTTTTCTTTCTTTCTCCTCTCACTCAATCTCCGTCCCGACTTTTGTCCTTTCTCTCTCTCACCGCCACGAAATCCACAAAAGTTCTTCCCTCCTTCTTCCTCGTCTCGATCTCCATTTCATACCAGGGAGGGAACAAAGAAGCTTAACTAGCCTCTCTTCCTCTTCTCCTCGCTCTCTCCAATTGCTGCGGGATTTCCGCGATTCAGGTTCTTTCCCCTCTCTTTCTCGCTCACGCTCTTGCTTGCAGCGGCTCTCTCTTTTGTCCTTTTACGCTTCGAGAGTTCTCATGGCGTGAAGCTCTTCGTCGACGTTGCTTATTGCCTGCTGCGATTCTTTCGTTCATTTTTATTCGGAGTACTAGTAGCAGCCATTCTCCCTTCTGCTTTTCCGTTCTTCGCTCCTGCTGCAATTGGTTTTCGGTTTCTGTTTGCCGGTTACAGTTCTAGAGTGTGGTGGAATTTTTCTTGCTGGTTTGGGGAATTGTGAAATCTGTGGACGGTATAGTGATCTCCATCTGCCGCCGGAATTCGAAACAATTTTTTCCCCAAAGTGTGAATGAGTTGGTATTTTTGTGCCGCATGGTCTCCTACTACTGTTGTTAGGGCTTTCTCTTCTATGGACTGGATTGTTTCTTAAATTTCTTCTTGCGGCTGGATTCTTTGCTTGCAGAACCGTTGGTAAGAAACTATGGATTCCTGCTTTGGCAGTCTCAAAGGAAGCATCTGCTCTGGTGGTTATAGTAGTATTGGCTCGTTAGGCCGTCGCCATGGTTTAGCGATTTAGAGATAATACGTTGGTGGAATTCTTCTATTCTAAATTTGCTCTTCAATTATTCCATTCATCTTGCTCTCATCGCGAAAGAAAAAGGAGAGCACAGATAGGTATAGGTGTTGCTGAATGGGTAATAAGTTGGGAAGGAGGAGGCAAGTGGTGGATGAGAGGTATACAAAGCCACAAGGTTTATATGTCCACAAAGACGTAGACCATAAGAAGCTCAGAAAGCTCATTCTCGAGTCCAAGCTCGCACCGTGCTATCCTGGTGATGAGGAGTCATGCAATGACCATGAAGAATGCCCTATTTGCTTCTTGGTTTGTTCCTCTCTCTCTCTTTTTAACTTTGTTCTTCCTTCGGCTCATCTATGGCTCGCTCTTCCGTTTGTGGTCGGTGTTCATTACTATTCTTTAGGGTGTTAAGGAGAAATGCAGAAATGTGCTTTGGAATTGGGAGGTCTTATTTAATACGTATACTGTAAAGAGCCTTGACATGTATGTGATACTGTTCTTGGCTTTGTTTCAGTACTACCCAAGCCTCAACCGGTCGCGGTGTTGCACAAAGGGGATCTGTACAGGTAATGATCATTGCCATAAGTGTATAAACGTTTCAAGTGATCAATTATGGTAGTTGTGATTTTTTCCTTTCCTTTTTTGGCAACAGAATGTTTTCTGCAGATGAAAAATCCTAATTCAACTCGGCCTACTCAGTATCCTTCTCTGCACGATTCTAGTATTTGTTTTCTTCTGTTCTTCCAACATCTTTCTCCTATCTTTCAGTCATAGTTTCTATGCCTGCTGTACTTAACTCTAGCAGATGTCCGTTCTGTAAAACATCAAATTATGCTGTGGAATATCGTGGTGTGAAAACAAAAGAGGAGAAGGGCTTGGAGCAAATTGTAAGACTTTACCATATTCATCTAAATATCTTCATCGCAATTGCATTTATGTACGAGCATGTGGCTAAGGTATGTAATTTTCTAGGAAGAACAAAGAGTAATAGAAGCAAAAATTAGGATTCGACAACAAGAGCTTCAGGATGAAGAGGACAGAATGCAAAAACGGCTGGAATCAAGTTCTTCCAGTTCTCACGTTGCATCTGAGGAGGTTGATTGTGGCTCTGCAGCAGGTATCATCACTCTGTATTGATTTCTTTACTTAGATGCCCGTTTCTTTCAGCATGTACTGAATGCCTTAAGTTTTCTCCTTTGAAGTTCCATCCTATGCATCGTCCGAAAGTGATGAAATTGTTTCTTCTCGACCATCTATCAGAGATCCTGCATTGGTTAGACCAAACAGGTATGTTGGACTTCTCCTTCTGTTTATGGCTTTATTCACGAAATCGATTGGGCCATAGGGTTGTGATTCATAATGAGAATTTCCTTCCTCAAGCTTGTAAAATGGACATAGTCAATAACTTTAGTTGGTTGCTGTATGCTGCCTCAGTTTATTGGGCGAATTAGCCGGTAGGTTTTCAAGCATGTTGTTTGGTAGTAGACAGCAAATTGTCCAATATATTCAATAGCTTGGTCCTGTTGTCTACATAAGTTCCATACTCATTCTTAGGGCTGGTTGAACTAGATATCTGGTTTACTTTTATGAAATTCCCAGGCTTGATCAGGTTCTTCAAATACTTCTGGCATGGGAAGTTGGGAACTAGACAGTTGGTTTACTTTTACTATATCTTGTGTAGAACATTTGGAGTGTGCTGCTTATTTGAGAAATTTGCACCTCATCGTGAACCAGATACATCACCTGTTAGGAGTTAGATGTGTTCATGTGTCGCCACTCATATAGTAGTTGTTATAGATGATGGTAAACTTAAGCTTTTGAACGGTTCTTGTAGAAAGGATTGGTTTAGTTAGCAGTGTTTCTACTGATAGTTTTTCCAACTTCTATTTACTGGTGGAGGGGTTAAATGCGTAGTGCTTTCTTGTATCTATTTAAGAATCATAGGTATACATGTCCTTTACATACTGGCATTTGAATTTTATGTTCTTTATACCTTTTAGATTGTATTAGCAGCTATTCTAATTTATTCTGTTTCAAATTTGGAATGTTCTCTAATTGAAGGGATGAAGACTTTGACCTTGATCTCGAGGATATTATGGTCATGGAGGCTATCTGGCTTTCTATTCAGGTAGATTTAGATTCCTTGATTGCATACAATGAGTGCAAAAGGCTGACTGGAAAACTGGTTCTTGAAACGTG